TCATAACATTGGCGGTATGGACTCTGGCCTTCTCCAGGCACTTCTTAGGCTTTGGCTTTTTTCCACATCGGTAACAGACGTTGTGGCACTGCATGCGATTCTATTCCCCATTCTCGGATGGTTGCTTCACCATTCTCTGGTGTCATCATTACTACCATCTCCCCGTTTCTTTGCACTAGAAGCTTCACTGGATATCCTCAGCGATATAGTAGGTGGTGTTGTCGTAGTCGCTCATTAATGGCTGAGAAGGCTCTACGTCTTTTCAGTGTGAAGGTGAAGATTTCTGCAAATATTTGTATATCTTTGTACTCATGGGCTACATAGGTTTTGTTCCTGCTTGCTTTCAGGATGTTTTCTTTAATATGATAATAGTGAATCCTTATCATAATGTCTCTTGGGACTTCAGGCGGTAAAAATTGCGGTTTGGGCACCCTGTACAGCCCTCTAGAAGCAGCATGTCTTGGTGTATGTCTGGCGCTAGAGATCTGAGTAGTGCTTTTATATGAGCAGGTAGATCGTTTTGGCAACCCCTCTGATCTGGAGATTGTGTAGTTAGTAAATTTCCTGCACCATCTACCCTAATTTTTAACAAATGTACTTTTTTTTTAAGTCACTGCAGTGGATAAACTTATTTAATAAAAACGTGTACATTCAATAGAAACAGTTAAGTGTTGAAAATGAGCACATAAAATTTTAGGTGGTGGAAATTGTTTTGTTTTGGTTGTCCTTTTGGAATTTTATTACAACTCTTAAACCCATCAATACAGATTAAACTCCATGTATGTACATAGCGGGGAATGTGGTGCTACTAAGAGTAAGGAGACTACCCCAATTCTCCCCCCAATAATGACAAACAACGAATATTGGATGACACAGGCCACAGCATTTATTAAACTTACAACTGTAGGACTCATCCAAACTTTATTCTTTTTCTTTAATTCAAATATAAACACATAAATACATATATATATATATATATATATATGGATATATATATATATATATATATATATACATACCATAGTCAGGGCCGGTGCAAGGATTTTTGCCGCCCTAGGCAAAAGTAAAGTTTGCCGCCCCCCCCCATGTGACATCACAATGCTCCACCCATATGATCTGCCATGTTAACTAACGCCAGTGCTGCAGTGCCGCCGTGTTTACATTATAAGGCATACAGGGACAGGCTATAGACACCAGAACAACTACATTAAGCTGCAGTGGTTCTGGGGACTATAGTGTTTCTTTAATGTGAGGTAAATTAGAGATTAGTGCCACGAATAATATACTAGATTGCCTACTTACAACCAGATGAGGCTGATGATGGGCTCTAGCTGCAGTCTGGCTCCACTGGTCTGGTGTAGAACAGGCTCTCTGGAGGCGGTTTGTAACTGTAGTCACAAAAATCAATGTTCTGGGAGAACGGGAAGCAGCTCCATTTTTTTGAGGGCCCTTTACACAGCTCAAGGTCTGGGTCCCAGGGTCCACCTTCATGTTCCACCAATGATTTTGTTCACAGGGGGTGGAGTGTGTAGGGGATGTCCTGATATGTGTGTAAGGAATGCATTGTGTGAATCTGTGTTTGTATGTGTAAGGGCTGCAAGGTGTGTTTCTGTGTATGTATGGGATGCATTGAATGTGTGTAAGGGGTGCATTGAGTGTGTGTAATGAATGCATTGTGTGTTTCTGTGTGTGTAAGGGATGCATTGCTTGTGTATGTGTGTCTGTGTGTAA